TATAAATACCTGCAACTCGGCTCCATAGTACATATGCTCGGCATTTTGAATGACTTGATCGTTGGTTAGATGCTGGAAAGGCTTTTCCCTGGCCAAACTCATCACTTCCCAGAGAGTAACGGCGAAGGACCAAACGCTGCTCGAGCAAGTATACCTGTCCTGGAATTTGAAAGCAACCAATCTTATAAAGGATTGTTCCCATGTTTGGTTCCAGAATCGTTGATGGCTCTGGAGCGCTCGTTAGGCAGGGAATCACGAGTACGATTCGCATAGAGAGAAAATCATTTAACCTTACCAGCAAAATGCTTTCCCACGGCAGCCATCTGATTGGCGCCGGCGGTCTGCCGCCTATGTCACTGTAATCCTTTTTGTAAAGGTCACTGCACATCGCTATGTCGGTCACTTTCACGGTGTAAGAACGGCCCACTAGACAGTTTCTGGCTGCCAGGTCCTTGTGCACCAGATTCTTCGATTCGAGGAACCTCATGCCCGATGCTATCTGCGTTCCCATGTACAACAGGCAGCCTTGACTGGAAACACACAACGTTGCTTTTCAGCGGGATGACGTTAATTGATTGAGCTACTATTCCGAGTGTCTCGGTACAACTTTATTTTGATGCTCGGTCGATAGCGATCTGGGAACATCTGCCCTCGGGCCGTGGACGAGCGAATTTACGATCGATATTATCGACAATTTCTGACTAGGCTGCGGCTGTTTGTATGTTTACAGCACACTTCAACGTGAAAAATGTAAGAGTACAAGTATATAAGTGCTTTCAAGCGGTTTTGTAAATACTTTACTCTATTTTTGGCTCAAGGAGATTTTTCATATTTGTGTACTGTCTGCAACGAATATGCCCCGAAGCGGATCATTAAGTTTCTTATAGGAATTTTTATATAACGTATACATGGTTAATTTATGTTAATTTAGGTATATTATAATCTGAATATAAATTGAACATAACTTAATGTTAATTTTAGTTTGAAATTATACTATGAGCATTTATATATGTTTATTATGTTTAATAATTACCCGTGCAATGGTAAAAAGTTAATACAGAAAATATAGATCCATTTAATTATTACAGTTTTATTTGTAACTTTATAAACAACTGATTTGTCGATAGTATAGGGAGTTTAGTCGAAAGATTAACTGCGTATGATATTATTGATATTGTAATTTAATGGCGTCGATTCTATGGCGTCAAACGTGATTATATTGGAAACAGTAACTGGAGATGGTATTATTAATTTGTGATATTAATTGGATATTGGATTCGACAGATTTGGAATGATACCGGCGATTTATGGTATTTATGTAAGAGAAGCAATTAATTTCTCATAGTACAGCGATCGTGTAATCGAAAATTACACTATACTATTAATATATTGTTTCATTATTATGTTCGCTATGAAGTGCGGTTTACAATTTCTACAATTTAAAAGCATAAATAATTAGAAAATAATTGAATTAAATTTTTCAACAAATTTAAATCACTCAAACGTGAATTATAACATAAATCATTTAACGGCATAATTATTAGTAATCTCCAGTTTTTTTTCAAATATTCATATCACTCGTTTAAAAATGTTACCGCTATTTCTCTGTTTTAGTCTTCTTTCATTTAACTTGCAATACACTAAATTCTACAATTTAAACAAATCTGATACTACGCACAAAAACATGTACAACTAACAAAACATAATTTACCTCAACATATAAACACTAATCACTAGATAATTTCATTACTATTCATCTACAATAATTCAACATTATCTAGAAACTTCGCCCTCCAATTATTGAGCTAAAACGGATAGTCATGTATCATTCAGCGCATTCAAAAACGTTACTGTCATTCGTAAATGACAAATAACATCCATCAATCAAATCCGCTAACCGTGTTACGAGACGCGGATCGAGATTAGAGGAGACCCTAAAAAAGTGGCAATAAGTGAATGTCTGGAAGCTTGTGATACATATTAAAGCAATCGGAACATTCATGCTTCCATTTCGAGATACGTATACGTACGTATTCCCGGATTGTTAGCTGTGAGTTTATCGTTTAAGTATCTCGGCATAAACAGTCGGGTCCTCACCTAAGGGCTTTCAAATTGCAGCTCGGCCTAAGCGTTCCGGTAAGTGGCACACTGTACTGAAGATAATGGGCGAGATCACCGAGTTCCGTGTACTCGATGATCGTCCACGGCACCGGTTCCACCGAACACACGCCCAGAATCCGAGCTACGTTCGGATCGGATAGACTGGACAAGAATCGGACTTCTCTGATTTGATCCGCCGTACTACCGGCCCGGATATCGCTGGTGCAAGCCGGTACGCGAGCCACTACCAATCTCGATGCGTTTGGTACCACGTCCTCCAATCCGACTGCTTCGCAAACTATCGCCTGCGGAGGACAATAAAAAGTCGATTTTATTTTGATTTATGATCAATAATGTAAATAGAAGAATTATCGTGTGCATGAGAATGTGATTGTTTAATAATTATTCGTTCTTTTTGTCGTCTGGAGTTATTTACGTGGGCAGTGATTGTTAAGGTCGGTGATTCTTTTATTTTTCTAATTGACACTGGTTCTTCGCTTAATGCTTAAAATTCAAACTGAAAATATGAAATTTATTTTGTGAAATATGTACGTTTGTTTGATACTTATTTATTTTACTGTATTGTAGGTGTGATTGTTAATGAGCATGCGGCTTATGATGAGATTATTTACTTTAAACAATGTGTGGTATTTATATAGAAGATAATATTGTACTAACAAGTATTATTAAGTATTATTATGAAAGTTGTGAGGGTGTATTATTTCAGTTTCTGTGAGACAGTCGCGGAATTATGTAAACGAAACAGTTAATGTTTCAAATAACTTGTATAAATATTTTCATGATTTCAGTAACTATAAACTGAGAAAGTGAGCAATATAGTCATTTTGGTAGGCATGATTGTTCTAGTATTAACGCTATTCGGTATAAAACTGTAACAATAATAAATATTTTCTAAAAGTAATACTTCTTCGTTGATAAATATGTTATGGATTTATTTAAAATTCGATTTATATAAAAGATTTAATATTCTTCTATTATCTATGGTCTCCATCAGTCAGAAATGAAACTGAAATGAAGTTTTTAATTATTTTCTAATTATAATTTATGCTTACGTAAAGAAAACGCATAGAAAATATGTTAGTTTGTTTATTGATAATGTTTTAATTTTTTATATTCACTAAGTTGTTATCTAGATACTGATAAAGACTTACGAAAGCATTATAAGTGTATTAATTTTCGAATAGATTAACAATTAAAAATTCTGAGTAATCAACATTTTTCATTTAGAATTTATCAATTTTTCATCGTTTTCATTAATTCTATTCAGAAATTGACTTTACCCCTAAACGTTTGTAGCTACTTGTACACCAATTAACAATATCCATTACATGCACAGGTTATTATCTCTTCTTAATTTTATGGAAGAAACTTCCTTGTTTCATGAAGGAGATGCACGTAAAGAGCTTCCAATCTTTATTTTATGAGTCGACTTAATGTACTGAAAATTTCATAATTTTCTCTAAGTGATACATTCTTCTTGTACCTCGTTACGAAACAATGATCTACACTATCTTTAATGACACCGTCGCTAATGCACGTGTAAGTCGATAAATTTCCAAAATATAAGGAAACCTGCATCTGTGTGTACGTCGCGTATGCGCATAATGTACATCGTAAATGCATTATCCCTCGAACATCGTTGTCGTTCCTCTTCGATATTCTACGAGCAAAGTTTCCGTGTAGTTTGCAGACGTTTATATTATGCTGTATTGTCGAGTTGTAATAGTACCGCGTTACAACTCCACGATTTTGCCGAGTTTATCGATTACGCGATCATGTCGAGAAATTAGTACAATGCCTAGCAATCGCAGGTTACGTCGGAGCTAGTAGCGAAGTTGAATTGTGCAAACTCTCAATCGTAATATTTAACTGCATTTCCATTTTCCTAATTACAATTAAGGAGTATCTATTAAAACTCGAGCAATCACTGTTGCAATGTTATATAATTTTATATTTACAATGAATCGTATGTATTTTATATTTATTAGATTTTCTTCATTGCGATTTATGATTACTGTAACTCAATAAAAATTTAATCAATGCAACCACATACATCTCATCGTTTAATTTTAAGTTACTTTAATCTTTCCTGTTTATTGTATAAAAACTATTCTGAATGAATTTTAAAAGCTGTTCAGTTTCAGTATGTTCTTACTAATCAATTACAATTTGCTTGATTTGTATTTTGTAACGACTGAGATTTTTCACGATATTATAAAGCAATGTTCTTTATTTTTTGTATGTAATGTATTATAAATTTTTGTCAGAGTTGATATCATTGGTTTATAGCATTCTCTGATATCTTAATACAAGATAATAAGGACTTTATTGTTATTTCGTTTTCAAGTATTTTACTTAATCATAGTTGTTTATGAATTTATAAGAAATTTCAACGTCAGAAGCGAAATAAAGTATAAAGTGCAATTAATCTCAATACGATTTGCATTACAAGGTGACTTACTAACATCATGAATAGAGGAAATCAGTGTCTGTTCAACTTCAGTGTTCGTAAATCACACCAGACGTTTTGGTAACAATAAATTTGATCAACGCGCATTAGGGATGTTTCCAGTGGGGAATCTTGTTTGGTCGTCGTGTGCAATTTTCGGATTAGCCTCGAGTGAAACGGGACGCGTGCACGATCGCATAAAGCGCAACAGCGTGCACGTGCACGTACCCGGGTGCATTGTTTCTCAATCTCTTTTATTCCTACCTCGCCGATATTCCTCGAGCCAAGTTTCTCTGTTGTACGTAGGCACTGTCGTGGTATATTGGTGGGTTCTATTTCCTTGCACTTGTATGGCTTGTTCATGCTGGGCGCGATATTCCAACTAACCACTGGCGCCGGTATCTGGAAAGGTAATTGAGTTACTCGTTGTATCGTTACAGCAATTGTTTAAATGCTATTATACTTATTTAATTTTGAACGTATGCGAGTTTGCAACTATGCGTACAGAATGCTTCATAAACAGTTTGCAAGATAGACGTTATATTGCATTGTGTAACAGAGAACATTACGTTTTTAATTAGTAATAATGTGAAATTTTCATATTTATTGGATAATTATAAATAGACGGTGAGGTGAGATATTAATAATAAAAATACAAGATTGCAGTTTTATACTTTTCTTGTGCACTCTTAATAGTGTAAGTAAACAAATATTCTTGAGTGATAACGAATGTATAATGTATATAAATATCACTACTTTCGTTTAAATATAAGGTTTTGTTATGAGCTCTAGAAGTTCAGAATTATAGAAACATAAAACTAAAAAAATTTAAGGGAGAATGTTTAAATACAAGGAAAAAAAGGAACATAATTTCCAGAACTTTAAAATATATAATACTACAATATTAAAGATTATAGTAATACAATATAAAATAATGGGAATTTTACTAATTTTTCGTATAAAACACTTTGATCATTATTTTTCCAATGTGTAAAAACAAACCGAAGAAAACAAATATTTTTTAAATTTAAATTTAACGAATACGTTACTCACTCTGTATTTCATTTTAGATTCATGTTATACAGTTCAGAGGAGGTTCGAGTGGTTCGCAAACTAACCTTGTGTTTTTCTTTGGGCGCCGTGTGCCAGCGCTTTGAGTGGATCTGATCGACGTCCCGTTGGTGATTAGACGTAGCCGCGATATTGAGTTTCGCAGTTGGACTGGTGTAACTTTGAAGAGTCCTGTAGTACTGAGAATGACGTGCGGGCGAGTTGGTCGGCGACGAGGAGCAACTAGGCGGACCTACTGTCGATTCTGGTCTTGTATCAAGTCGGACACTCTCCTCTGATACGTTCACATCTTTCAAGTCTTTTGGGGATTCCTCTACAAAAATCGATTCTTATCAATTTTTCATAATGTTCCTTTATTTCAGAAATATATTCACTCTTTGTATTCCACGGATGCTATTGCAGTGACGTTTAACCCCTTGGTGTATTATTTACTTTAGTTTTTAAGCTTATGTAACGTTTTACTATCGACAATTTGGCAGAAACGTAAACAAATTTTTCTGTTCCAATGTAAGTAGAAACTTACTTTGAAGATAATACATTGGTAATAGCAAAATAGCTTTTTGCTTTGATCCGAGAACAATCAACGGCATTGATGTTTATTAAGTTCATCTAGAAATTTTCATTATGAGTATCACTCGTTATTGTATGGCAAGAGGTTAATGACTCACATACGTACATTGCAAATACTTTTAAAAGTATATTTAAATGTAGAAATTGTTATATTGTATGCAATAGAATTACTTTATTTACTTAATCTATTCTCCTTATTTTATTTGCACTATTTATATGTTTCATATTCCTCCGTGATCAATATTTCTTGACTTTTCAATAATATTTAATTGGTAATTTCGTGTATAATTTAATAGTTTAAATGGTAAATATTTAGCAATGCTAGTCATAAGTTTGTAACTGTCTGTTAATGCGTAGGAAAATTTATCATCTGACAATTTTTTAATTTTTCATTTTTCACGAGATAATTTTCATCGATGTTTTACATATAATTTCGATAGATATTTTCTTAAATAAGAAAATTTAAATTTAATCATTTATAAAGGGTTAAATTAGATTGCTCAACGAGAAAATTTGTTCGTATTTTAATTTATATACTTTTTAACTGGCAATGTTTATAACTGTTAAATATATTTTATTCGTTGAAATGCAAATTAAATTAATCAATAAAATTTGGATGAACGAATAAATTAATTGCTTCTTAACGATAGAAATTGTTCTTTAAGATATTTTAGTATTAACATATAATTATTATTATTAACAAATAAAAATAATTCTTTCATGAGCACATACTTCAAATTTACTATTAGGATAATTTTCCTTTCAGAAAGATTAATTTTTAGATACGTGTAACAATTTTTAAAGTTAAATATCTTTATAGCAAAAAAAGAATTTATGCCCGTCGCGTGGCGCTAAAGGTTGAGTTACTAAGCCGACAAAATTACGGCGCCTAGGACTATAAATTACTTTGACGTCCTTTGAAATAAGAAATGGAGAGATTCATGTTAAAAACTCACCGGAAGTAGCTACTATCGCATACGTAGATTTATACTGGGGACTGACAAGGGGTGAATTGAATTGTTCCATTGTTAAAGACTCGTGCATGCTCCCGTCCTCCGGCATGTCCGGGGAAACGTGATTGGCAGTCTCTGCCAGCATCCCTCCGGGAGTTAAATTTAAGAGAAGGCCCTGCAAACGTCGAATCTTTTGATTTAATCGAAACATATTGAATATAAATGTAGAACAATGTAACAATTATACAATGGATCTTTATACACCTACACCATAAAAATACCACTGACTAAATTCCAGTAAAATAACAATTACAATGAAATTAGTCAGACATTTAATATTTTGCTTGACCTAGAGAAAATATTTGTTCAGGTGCTAGGCTTACATTTATATATATAACTCTACATTTTACCAATTGTTCTTTATATAAAAATGTAACTTTGCATAAACATCCATATTTTAGAAATAATAAATATACAGAAGAACAAAAAAGTTTATATCATTCATAAGTAACCATCATGAAGAGATATAATGAAGTTTAATAGTTCATTTGGTGACTTAATTTCTTTACGAGAAATTTAACTGTAAAAATCAGGAAATGATAAATAGACATAGAATGGAGGGAAATTAGTGATGCTGACCTTTTTGTGGTTTATTGAATTCGATGTCAATCAATATCGATTCGAAATGTGCAAAGAATTACCGACAAACTGCGTCCCCTATTGTGTAAAAGGAATTCATATTGATTCCTGTGATTCGGGGGTGACGAAGTTTGCGGACTTTTAATGACGAATTAAAATCCGCTTTATCATTTCCGGAGAAGTTCCAGCATATTTATGAGCTAGTTTTTACCTTCATGTTTATGGCAAATCCAAATGGATTTTTCAACACGGTCGGCGAGCTCTGAAGTTTTTGCCGTCGATTCAGAAGTAGAATAATGACGAACACCAGCAGAAGAAGTAGGATAATGGCAGTCAGAACACCTATTAGTACTTCTAAATATTCCTGACCCTCTCCCGCAGCTGTAACTATGCCAAACGATTCTTTTTAATGCAAAACAGTCGCTAATCATGCCGTACCTTTGTCTTCTTCCGCATAAATGGAAGATAGATTAAGAATAAATACGGAAGACTGCTTTCCGTTCTATTTAACATGGCATAATATTGACACAGATTTTCAACAGGGTCATTTTAATCACCCTTTACAGATTATCGTGGAGTAATGTTATTGAAATTCAAACAATATTATTTCATCGATAATTTCTGCTTTAACTTCTTATAATAATATGTATAATAATTTCTATATTAACTTAAAAATCAGTATAAATTGTGCTTATGATATTTGAAACATAGCTAAACATTTTTCTTTCATTGAAATTTCTGTTCTGTTTTCTTCTCTTTTTAGTAGTAAAATGAGTAATTAGTTATGAAATGAGATATATTTGTTACGTGCACATATATTTTATTTTAACTGTGCGTTTGCAAGAATATTTTTATCAATATAGCTGCCATCCCTGACAGAGAGTGTCCGATTAAAATTGCTAACGTAATCTCCAATGAATTATTTGCAAATGTATTTAACAACAAAACTGGTATCATCTATATAACTCACATTAATACTCTAAATCAAAGGAGATGATAATAAAAATTATAATTAAGCGTGTTCAACACATAAAGATAACTAATTATTTTCGCAATTTTCATTTTTCTTATTCCATATTTTGCGCAAGAAACAGCAATGTACATGTTCATACCCAAAATTTAGTATTTGATATTTAATTATATTAATTCGTAAAGAAGCTAATCTTTTTCAGTTTCCTTCCCCATTACTTAACAAATACGGGTATTATTATAATAATAATAATAATTATTTTATATATATTATTTTATACAATCAACTTATTCGATTAAATACTTCTTAGCAGGTCAGCATACCAAAAACATTAATTAACCGATTACATAACAACTCCCCGTCTTTAAAAATCGTAGTAGCTACCCCCATCACTGCGAGCATGTAAATCTAATCTCGCAGACGTGTCTGCACGTCGTTAACCATTCCCCGGCACGTCGATTTTAATACACGTTACCCGGAGCATTCGAATGTCCGGTCGCGTCGCCGCGCGGAAAAGAATAAATCGAGTGGCGCAATTCGGAACGTCGTTTGAAATCGATCGTTTCTCGAGTCGCCGGTGAATCTTTTTCCACCGGATACGCTTTATTGCTCGTAAAGGACGCTACGCTTTCGAAATGCGTCTCTTTACCCTTTCCGTCGCTTAAAAAACCGTAACATTTTTATCGGTACAGGTGAAAAGGCTAATCGACCATCCCCCCGCGGATGGAAGAGATCGAGACGCCGAAGGAAAGTGGAAGAAGGTCAAGGAAGTAGGAAGAATAAACACGAAGCAGAAACGATGGAATAAGAATAAGAACGGCCAGTTGAAAAAAGACGAAAACGCGATCTGAGGGTGGCTCGATAAAGCGACTTTACAATGCGCTGTTACATTCTTCCAATTTTTCATGTCGACCGGTCGGTGTTTTATCGGCGGAGCGCTGCCGAGCACGCTCGGAACGGAAGCGGCGTCACAACGTCGGTTTTATGAGAGAAATAAATAAGCGGGCGGAGTGGCCTTGCGTGGCGATCAAGATCTCGCCGTCGACCCAGAGACTCGGAGACCGATTTGCTTCGATCAAGCCCGGCCCGTTCGTTTCAGCGAAAAAGTAAAACGGGCCACCGCCGCCCCGTCGACGTCCCTCCGCAATTTCGAGAACGTAATTCGCGGCATGCACCTCCCCGCGGACCCTCGCGACGATTCGAACCGGAAATATCTATCCTTTAAATCACGCTTTTTTACCCACGCGTAGCTACGAAAAAAGGAAATGGACAGGAACACGCCGGAGGGCTTTTAATTCCTTTCGCTCCCGTCTCGTCCTCTTTTCCGACGCTCCTCTGTTCCCGCTTAACTTCGTTATCCTTTTCTTTCTTCCTTCGACCGGGTTTTACGCACTTTTTCTTCATTCATTCGGTTTTGTTTTTGCGGATAGAAACTATGGATCGTACGCGGACAAAGATCTGCAAGCTTTCACTTCGGGTTTTGTAAGTAAATATTTGCCTCTATATGTATGTGGAAAGAATGAAGTATTTGCTGGAAATCGTATTTAGTCAATTTGATGGTAAATACGCAAGAATTGTATGCATAATGTTTAGTATTTATTAAAAATATCAAGTATATATAGATTGTAATTTCAAGTATGTCACTCATTTGCCTTAATTACTGCTAATTTCTTTGTAGTATTTACTACGGATTTTCCAACATTTGATATTTAGTAGTGGTAAAAGATTACGAATAAGAAACCTAATGCTTCATTCTATTTATACTTAATACTTATAAGCATTAACTTATATTATGCATACGACTCTATCATAATGTTGGTACATATGAATTGTGATTTGATTGTAGAGAATGTCATAAATTGAATCTTTATTAGAGTTTACTACAATAAGAAAAGAATTGTATTTTTTTATATATAACAGGGCAAAATGGGTTTGATAACTATATTACGGATGTTTTTATATCGCAATATGTGCAATATTTTTTAAAACTATTTAAACTAAAGAGTTTTTAATTATTTACTACGATTTTGAACGTTAAATACAAACATGTCTTGTTATTTTTAACATATATGAATCTTAATTATACAATAACGAAATAATTAGTTACTATTCCCGACTATTATTTTATTATCTATTAATGATATATAAAGTACTTTAACAAGAAATATAATTCCAGTATCAATAATATAATACTTACTCTTTTCTTCTTACTTTGTTTTAACGCGGTTGTAAAGTATCTAGGTATATAAAGTATTCGAATCTTTCATTTTTAGCATTTTAAAAAATTTTCACCTACAAAAGAATGTGGAAATACAACATATGGAATACGTGGTGTAAAGGTTTATGAAGTAACTGCAGCTGCAGTACGTAATATTGTCTAAACAAATTCTCGTAACCTTCGTTTAACGTTTCGCGAGCCACATGGTTGAACATTTTCATGGCTGTAATTGAACCCAGTATGCGTGAAAAGTAATAGCCTCATTATGCTGTGACAAGTTGATAATAATGGATAGTCATGATGCAAATTTTAATGACGTTTCTATTATATTTTCGCAATTTTATATACTACTCTTAACAATTTTTAGTGTCCCTATCTTGAATAAGAGTTAATTAATTTTTCTGAGTTAACAGGTTAAAGAATTAGTTATCGTGAAACCTCCTGTAACGTTGTTAAGCCATCATTTTTCTTGCTTTACTCTTTAGTTTCCTCTCCTTTAATTTGAATGCTTCTCCTCCTTCATCTATAACATTTCTATTTTCCCCTTTTTTCACAATGACATTTTATTTACGATGCTTTATTCGGCAAAGATTCAGGAAACTTAAATCGGTTGCAATTGGAAGAATCGCAAATGGGTTTGTAATACGACGAGACAAGATTTGTGGGGCGGTTTCGTACGTCGAGAGACCTCGTGATCACACCTGAGCAGAGTCGACTAATTAAGCCACTTCTGGCCCTCTGTGCCCGAGCTTCTATGGGCGATTTTCTTTTCTAATTTGCCGGCTTCGTCCTATTAACTGTTTATTTTAAATCGATACCGCTCCTGGACCAGCTGCATTTACTGGCGCCCCTGTTAATACCCCTCTTTATCTACTCATTAAGCACCTTTAATTTCTTCCATTATCTTTCGCTTTCTCTTTTTCTGTTATTTTATCTCGAATTCTTCTTGTCCCCTTGTGTTTCTTTTATCCATCTAGAAAGTGTCGTGGAAAATTGAACCGCTTTACGAGAAAAAATTAATTCACTTGGGGCTATTCGAAACAACGAGGAGAATGATTTTTTTAAGATGAAGTTAATTAGGTTAAATTTTGCATAATTTTGGAATTAAGTAAATCTAAATTGCTCTGCCAATATCGCATTCCCGGAGATTATACAAAGAAGGTAGCGTTGAAAATATTTCCGTAGTAAAAGCGAACTTTAACTTTGCTTTTAGAACGTATAATATGTAATTCTGTCCGTTAAGATTTTGAAATGTGTAATATGTAATTTCGTCTGTCAATTTACTTCAGAATACTTTGTCGTTTTTGTAATATATTAAAGAAATTTTTTACGTTTGTACTTTGCTAAACAATATGGAATATTTCAATTAATGATTCGTAAATATCAAATTATTCACACACATTTATAACTGATAGTTTCATTGCGAAGAAGTATGCCGACCGTAACAAACATATAAATTATGAAATCCGACATGATGAATAACATGAAATAGTGGAAAACGTAGTAATTGTTATTCTTCTAATTATATTGATAAAATGTTATGTAGTATTCAAATAGAATGTGTAAAAATTACTAGTTACCGAAAACTTTGTTCGTTACCTATACACAATATTATTAAAAATGCCGTGTATGATTTTAAAAATAATGTTCAAGACGATATTAATACGTTCGCGACCAGCGTCACATATTTGTGACATTCAACACATTGTATCTTGTGTAAAGAAAATTAAATTAGTTTCACAAGTGTTTCAAAGGCGGCTGTCCTATTTACTACTTTGTAAGTATGCATTAATGATCGCCTGTCTTAACCCTTTCGTTCCGAACTGTACATACAGGTACTACGAACACTTTAAATTACCGGGAAGCTAACAAAACGCTTTAATGATACAGGAAAATTGTATCATATGGGGATCTTTGCTTATAGCCGACAGCTTAAGTGCTACTTATTATTATTATTAGTGCTTATCTTATTTCTTTCACTGAGAAGTTTGAATTTGTCTTGAAAGGAGTTGTTCACTGCCCTCTCTTTGATTTAGGGGAAAAATACATATTCACAAACGAAAGGGTTATGACCCTAACGCGCAGGCACTAACACAACTGTATTTTCCTCACTTCAGGAACGTATGCCCGTAGCTTTGCCCAAAGCTCTGCCCGCGGGCAATCGAGACTGCTCTTGCTCGCGAAAAAGTCTGTTGGACACGCCTAGCGTAGGTTGTAACAAATTGACGCGATTCTTTTCTTGAATTTTATTTGCATTTTACACAGATGATATGTTGTATTTAATAAAATCTAGTAACTATGAAGATTGCTACTGAAACTAACGCTGGTTGCGAACCTGCTAAAGGGTAATATATTTCTGTCATTATATTTGTTCACCTAACTAGTTCAATTTTTCTTGCAACACACGCTAAAAATTCTAGCCAGAAGAAATATGGACACAGTAATGTCAAGCAATTATCCTCTAATTTGTTGCTTCGTTCCCGGTTCGCTTATTTCCACTTCAACGCTCTTTCTTCGCTATAATTTCGCAGAATATTCTACACAGGGAGAATGTTTCGCAGGATTCGCCGTTGTTGTCGGGTAATCGAGGAGCAACACTTCCAGTTAGGAGCATGTGTTCTCCTCGGTGCTGCTTGAAAACCGTACACGTTTCCTCGTGCAGCGTTCCCCGTACCCTCTCTTTTTTAATATTCAAACGCGTGGTATCTTTCCACCTCTTTACACCGGGAATGTTCGAAACCGGGCTTTTCGTATAGCTCACTCGTTACGAGTGTGTCTAACGATGTGCTTCTTTATTTTCTGCGGACTGGATAATCGCGGCCGCGCGCGAACGAGAAACTACTCGTTTATTCGTGACGGTCCGGAGGAAACATTTAGCTGCCGAGTGTCCGGGACACAGGGAATGGAAGATGAGGATGCTATTGTTGTTTGGTCCATTAGCGACGCACACTTGCGTCTGTGTCTTTTAAAACTCGTGTCCTTTGCTCCTTTAGCTACCGACGTTTCATTCCTTTGATACCGTTGTTCGGTTCTATTAAGAGACTTTTCCATTCCTAGTGTCGGTTCGTCGCTTGTGCAGCCATCAAACAGTTTTGTTCGCGATCTTGGGATTGTGTACCGCGCCGCTCTTTGATGTTCTTTTCAGCTATTCTGGATTGAGGCGCGAGTTGCGCAAATACGAATTTTTATGGACGACGTTTCGGTAGCTTTTGGAGATTATCCATGTGTATTTAAATTAACGCACCGGAGGAATAGTTTTTTTTGGATATATTATTATGTGAAGTAATATGAAAATATTATATTTTTTAGTATCCCCAAATATTTTATTAAGAATTTGTAAATATTGCGATTTTATTTCGTAAATAAAAAAAAACTGTTGTATGTAGGTATAAATTGTATTTGAATTTTAAATACGTTTTCTTTAAAATGGTGACTTTAATATTCGGTAACAAGAGTATCTTGAAGACTTATTAACCGATTTAGTAGATATTTTGTTATAGTTATTTTTTGATATGATTAATTAATATTCATTAGCTGTTTTTTGACGAACGTACGACATTTGAGGCATCTTTTAGTTAAAGTGTTTGTCATTTTTCGATAAATTCATACTTTCAAAGTAAACTATGACAAATGGTAACTTTATTCGCCTATCGTAAGGGAATATTGTTGTTTTTTAATAGCATAAAAATTACAAAACTATTTCTAGTATCGAGCTGTTTTAAAAAAATGTATCATATACGAAACGACTTTTGCTCCACCTACTAAATAATTTCTAAATAAAACTTTCCAGAATTATCATTAACACTAAACCTACCGACACTTTACATATACCTATTCCTACCGTAACTGATTAAGTAATTGCTTATAAAATAAAAATAAACAAATTAAACAATACATTTTTCGTAGTAAAAATAAAAACAAAAGGAAAGACAGAATTGATAAATTAATTAATTGAACAGTATAAAAATTGATATTAAGTTAAATGAACAATTGTTATGTACGTTTACAAAAAAATGATTATAATATCTGAATAAAATATATTTTTATTATAAGCGACCAAAAATCTTAAAAATAGAAAATAAAAAATGTATCATTTGAAGAGTATATGTATGTGTTATTTTAGAAATCGTTATTGATGTCCTTATGCATTTTTATAGATTAATAGTATTCCAGATTAAAGCTGGAATCAAAGAAAGAAATTCTTTAACCGTTTAGTTTTATAAAAACAATTGAATACATAAATTAGAATCAGTTTCTCGTTTATAGTAGTACCTCGAGTTAATGGAATTGATTTACAGGAGCAATAGTATGGGATCGATACGAGTTCTTTTCTGTTCGCCTTTTCATCGCTTCCTTGAACCAGCGCTCTCTTAATCCGACTAATTGTTTACATTACGACGAAGTTGCTACGTGAATTATAAACTATCCAAGTTTCATCCGTCCAACTCCCGGCTCGTCGTGACTCCTAATCGTATCCTTTCCTCGTCAAAGAATAGTAGCCTGGTTCCACTAATGAAGTTACTTCGTTGGACAAACCTTATGTACTCACAAAGTGAAGGAGGACGAAGTCAATCGCGGAACCATTCTGCCGTATAATCGAACGAAGAAATTCTGAAATTAATTTCCTGACCTGGCGCACGGTATCGGCAAACAGGAAAATTAGATCGTTGCGAGATGAGGAATTGTGAAAACGGAGCATACCCTATTTAACACTTTGAGCACCAAACGTTATAACTTTGGAAATGAAAAAGTTTGTTTATTTTTCCATCTGTTATACAAAGCCAAAGTATTTTCAGAAAAAATAACTTTGGGGAAGCGAAAGTAGGCGCTTCAACTTTTATAATAAGTTTACACAGAATATTGTACGACTTTTTATCAGAAAGTTACAAGAGTTCAAAGATTGGTAATTTTTCGATTGCGATATAGTGATTCTTCCATTCTATAGGCTGGTGTGTATTTATTATATTGAAAGAATAAAGTTCCATTATTGTATTAAACGTATATATAAGAAAAATACAAGAATAGTCCATATTTGAGTGAATGAGTTCCATTTATGGAACGCAGAGTCCTTGTAAAATTCTTTGCCATGCACGAAATATTGTTTTGTAAAGTATTATTGAATTGCTTAGAAAAAAAACATAATGCTGATATCTTCAGTTGTTTGCCCTGAATGTGAAAGGTGACGTATCGAAAGGCAGATAATACGTATGTAAAAATAAATATTGGAAAATTTGGAACTTATTGTTAGTTTTCAACCATTTCTTTTTATTCTCAAAAGAATCAATTTTAACGTTACTCAAATGCAATTGACGTTTATTAGAGTTAACATATATATTTTAGCATTTATTATTATTTATAGGTACCTATTTGTAACCGATTATTACCTCTACAATTGATATCTATAAACATTTACATAAACGAGAGGTGAAAGTAAAGTCAAAATAAACGCAATTGCAAATTCCGAAAGTTATAAAATCTTCTAAACTGAGTATCTTAAAATGGAAATCACAGATATAGCTTGTTTAAAGACGTTATTATATATGTCACACGTGCTTTCAAATTCCAAAGATTACATGCGCAATAAGAAATAACTATCGTAAGGGTAATACGAATTTGATCGAGAGTACGATCTATAGTATCCTTCCGTTACGTAGTAAATAAATTAGTTTACCACCGTGCAGTGGAATCGTTGTTCATGATTACTTAAGTTTAGGGCTCGCCGTCCCAGGGCACCGCGACAGATAAGAAAGATAAGGAAAGTTTCGAATGCTCCGGGTGTAATTAACTCGAGATTGATACGAATTAAATGACGCCGCCGTCGAGTCACTTACTTGTTTGCAAGTTAAGATCCACCTCGGGGTTCATTGGAATTTCTCGGTTGCTGAACTCGGACGCCGACTCTTCGGTGACGTTTTCATAGGGATTGGCTGGAACAAGAGAAACGTACCTTGGTAACTAAACAGTTGTTAGTTTTGCTTAATCTATTTGAGAACACGATAGAACACAGTGTAATACGTTAAAAAAATTCCACGTTATACAGATTTCGTGTTAAATTTCACCAACATCATTATAGTTACTTTATAACCGCTTTATAGAGTATATTTGAAAAATATACTATATATATTCTACTATATTTGAAAAACTATTTTCCCTATTTCATCCAACGATACTTAAGTGGAGCTATTATTATTTAATGAGAATTCAAAAATATTTTAATTTATATTGACGAAAAGAAGAAAAGAAAAGAAACAAATTAAATAATCTATTGAGTTGGTGCAAAAATTGTGACATTGTTTTATAAGAAATAAAAAGAGTTTTTCAAATATTTTTATTACCTTAATCTACTATATAATTTCTGTTGGTTGCTATTACCCTGTTCCATTTTTCTAGAAGCTTATTTATTCCATCATCATAAAAATGTTGTAATTTCGGAGAAACATGAATCCAGTGTCACTTTCACTTTCTTCAAGAAACATGAAAATTTTTGCATCAACACAATATTTTTCTGGATTATTCTTAGAAATGAAATTTGGAATTATTTTTGTATTACAATACTTTGGTTCAATTTGCACCGTGTACATTAATCATTAATAATGTAATAAATAACATGTATATTTGTTATGACATCACTCGATAATAGCGAAACAATAAATATATTAATAGTTACATTCACGAACTGTTACAATTAGAGTTAATTGACTGTCAAGTTTCATATATATTTATTAAATCGAAACTACTTTTTACATCATTAATAGAAAAATCAAATATGTTTCTCTTAACATAGTTAATTGAATTTTATTTTTAAACAACTCCTCTGTATATAATATTAATTTGTAGATGTTTGGTGCGTAAACATCGGATTGCAATTTCATCATGTGTTTACAACACCGATAACATTGCTATTGTGTTTTATTTCGTTCTTTCTCACTAATATATTAATTCGGGTACAATAAATTCGATGACCTGTTTCTCCGCGTACCTCTATTTGCTAATGAACAACGCGTATAACAGGCTTATTATTCTGAAATGAATAGAAAATAAATACATCCGGCAAATATTATATTCGCCGGAACAATATCGATTCCAAAATGGAAAACAAATAAATCCGGTTCTGCGCTCGCAAAGCGAGTACGTTATTCAAAATTCCCGATACACCAATCGTCTCTTCGTTAACCAAACAAAAAACTTCATTCCTTTCACCAAATATTTCCGGTGGCTGTCGTTGATTGGTAGCTGCAGAAACACATTACAATTAACTGCCAATTCCACTGCCAAATTCACTGTCAAGCACACTTCGACAAACTCTTCATTTACTATCTATCATTTAGATTGTATTAACTTTTTGCCTTGAAATTTCTTTCACAGACGTATTTATTGGAATTGCTTCATTACCAACAAAGAATTTTCCAGAAAAAGAAAGAAAGTCTATTAATCATATAAATGATTTATTTATTCCAAAGGTTAAATATCGATAACCAAAAAATAATGTTTCGATTCTCATATAAATACAATGCATGATATATTTATCTGCTTGTCCCTCATCAGTCGCTGCGTAAATAATAAACATAAATATTGAACCAACATTTATTGCGAGTCGATCACCAGCATCTGATGAAGCGTAAACGACGGCCACCGGTGACCGTCACGTTAGTGAATGTCTTAATGACTACCCGAGTTCGATCCTCATTTCCTATCTCGAAACGTCTGTTTTCTTTCCGACGTTTCTCATGGATTCCCGTGGGGATCGAGTCCGTAAGTAATAGAGGTACGATGATCGCGACGTTAATTCGAACGGTCATTAGGATCACGCGATGAAATTGGAAAGATAGGTGGTCGGGATACTTCGGGACAAAGACGTGACGGGTGATAAAAGCCGCGAACAACGTGCTCAGTTGCATACGGAAAGAGATAATCCCGGCTGTCATTACGGGATCGTTCGTTACTGATTTAACAAGATCTGCTCCTTGCTGAATCGAGATTCTCAAATGGTAATTAACCCTACAGTGACAGAGGTCGAGTTTTTCGTACCTACCACAACAAATGTATAGTATATCGCAGGACTTTTGATTAATCGAGTCACTATTTTTTGCGATTCAGACCGTTCAGAGGTTTGGTTATCCACAAACTCAATAATTTGGATTCTTGGATTATGTTACCTCAGGATATATATGATTGAATTTTGCACGCTTTGGAAAATATCTTTTCAAGTTTTCATTTATCTAGACCGTAAATCATACAACTAAATCAGATAATCGAGGTTGTAATGTACTTGCATATTTATTGATATTAACCGTTTGCACTCGGAAATTTTAATTCTTTATAACTTGTAAAGTTTCTTCACTCCTCGTCTTTGCTATATAAGCTTCTACATTTATTTTCTACTTATGTATTTTTATTTGCAATCTCAAATTCAGAAGAAGTCTAACCTTTACAAATCGAAAACTTTCTGCAATCACATTACAAGACCATAAGTCGAATTTACGTTTGTTAAACCTCCTTTACTCGAGAACCAGATAAGATGAAAGTTCTGTAAGTCGAAGATCTTTTATCCCCTTTGCGTTACAACTTATTAGAGTTCGACTACATTTACTTACAAACTAGTAAGTAATACTTCATTTCAAATAAAATGATATATTCCTACAAATAATTATTCTATTTAAATGATAATAAATAATTAATTAAGAATAAAAGTTCAATCTGTTATTCGTTATACGTGGCTCGCTGCACAAATTTCGGGAAAGTGATAAATAAGTTTGAACTAATATTTTCATTTTTTCCCAAAATATTCTTCTTCAACATTAATACATTTTCCATTACGCTGTGTCAGCATTTTCTAATCTTAAAAATTTGAAGCTTTACGAAAATAACATAAACAACTGAATGCAGGCGCTAGAAATGGCTCATTCCGGAAACATTTGCAGCAACCTGCGTAATACTAATTTTATCGTCTAGTTTTGTTACCTACTGCCACAGGAACAATCGAATGTGAGGGGTTAAAAATATCTATTCTGAATACGCACAAAATATCCAAACATAAGTAAGTCTATCACGTTTCAAGAGATATGATTCAATAGTACATGAGAAAACAGCCTACGATGTACCGTCAGTTGTTGGGAACCGTGACGTGATAGGGGCGGATACAGTCGCTCCGAGAGATCCAACCGTGAGTCCGGAAACGACTGCCTGCATTCTTTGCTGTGCGACCCGATTGGTGTGCGTGAGCGCCTCAGCCAATCATGTATCCGAACCGAAAATTTGTGTTAGGAAAGAGTGCGCCTTCAAATCTGACCACTCAGACGAGAGTGCCAGGTTCGCAGCAACGGACGGCACTTACAGTTCGCCTCTTCCAAGCGTAGCGTCGACCATAGGTTTAAAAGTACACAGGGGCAAGGGGATGCTTCCACTTACGAAGCTCGGGCCGCCTCGACCTTGCATGCATAGTTATTATTGGCGCGTGGCAATAACAAATGACGGAAGCGAGACCGAATGCGATGAAGTGAAACGTAATGATAGAAAACAAAATTCTCTATAGTTTCGTCTCACTCTTTTATTATTGCCGCGCTCTAATAATGATCATGTATTGAAGATCAAGGCAGCCCGGGCTTCGTGAGTGGATGAGTCCCCTTGTCCCTGTGCACCTTTAACCCCTTGCCCTACGATTTTTTTCTTAATTCTGATCGATACGACTACTTTGTTATTAATAATTTATTGGGGAAAGAGAAATTCATGTTTGCTCTTAAGTATAATCATTGATTATAGAAGAATAATATTTACTTTGAATTCGAATGAATCCAGTAATATTTGTTTGTTAACCCTAGTCGGACTACGATGTGACTTTGACTCACATTTGAACTTTTTATTTAAATGTTTTGATTATTTCATATTGCATTTCCAAAAGTTTTTTGGACTTTTAAAATTTGGGTCCTATAAACAAAAACAATAACATTTTTATCATTTCTTTTATTCTCATAAGTGACTGAGGGGAGATCGTGGTATGATTCGTTATAAAAACACGTGGTACGATTAGAGTTAAATTATATTGAAATTTTCCATCATGAGTCTGACACGTTATTATAAGGCAAAGGGTTAAACCTAAGGTCGATGCTACGCTCGAAAGAAGCAAACTATAGAGAGCTCGTCGCTGCGGCTTTAAGTAGTCACGCCGGTCAGAAACTCGCGATTTTTCTGAAAACGCGGTTCGACGATTCCGTGGGTGCTCTCTAATTACTCGCTAGCGCGTTAGTGAACTTTCTTGCCTGACAAGTAACGGGTACAAACTTAAAGATTAATCAGAGTATTCCATCGACATCGCTCGCTGGGACTAGTGATCGATGAACGGACATCGGGCTAGAGGTATGGGAGGAGCTTACTTCCGTCGAATGTCACTTCGCTGATCATGATCCATCGGGCAGCGAAGTACAGGTGTATCTTTAGAAGCTTCCCGCGACGCTCGTGCAATCCTATCGACACGTTCCGCGCATTCTCCAGAACGATATCCGGTATGTAGGAGTAAGATTGCGGCTCCTCCTCGTAGCTCTCGCCGTCGGGACTAAACCAGACGTCCGCTTTAGAGAATACCTGGCGCACGAGAGAGCAAGAATTGTTTTATTAACACTTAACGAGCCAATAATGTTCGATCGGCATATTTTCGAATTGGTTTAACCGTGTAATTTGTTTCATGAAATAAATTATTGGCATACATACAGGTGTTCATGGTATTTAGAATTTGTGTAATGTAATAATTATTATTAAATAGATTGTTTATTTTGTTTTAATGTGAGGAGTGTGCTGATTCAGAGTTGTTAAAAGTAAATTGTTTTTGAATATTCAAGAGAAGGAAGATACAATAGACAATTTAGTGAGAGCATTTGAATTTTGTTGATATTTGAGACGATGAAAGTGGATCTTTTTAGTACAGTTTTACATTGCAGGTGGCACTAACTATGCAGTGAATTTGAAACCTTAGAAATATTTTGTAACATATTGGATAAATCGTTGTTTCGATACAAACTATAAAGTTGAATTGTTAAAAGGTTTAACATTTCCTAGGAGGGTAATATTTAAAAATGACCTAAAGGGGAAAAAATAACACTGAAAGTTAAAAGCAAATATTTTTCTTATCCTATACTCCGTTTCAGAGTGTTATAAAAATACAATATCTCAACGGTTTTAAAACGTTGAAACCATATATTCCTTAAAACAAAAAATCCGTAACTCAAAAATACTTTTTGTACAGAGTTTAAAAAACTTTAATTATTTTCAACTCGTTTGTGAAATAGTAATACTTTTTCAAATAAAACTAGAAAAACTAAAACCGCAACTAATAAAAATGGAAGCATTTAAATAGAAAAAGTATAAGAAGATTCTAATTTTACAGTAATGTACTTATTTGTACATGCAATAAATGCTAAAAATTTCTAAGTTACTTTAACGAGATTTCGGGATTTCTTTATAAATAATTTTTTCAAGCTGATCACAATTTCAGTGTACTGTTAGCTCAATGAAGTCGTTAATAAGGAAAACAAACTTTTATTTAATCTTCATGCTTATGAACCATTTAGTCAAAAGTGAAATAAAAATACTAACTCTTCCGCAAAGTACTCAAATTACTTGACTAGAAAATCGTCTACAACTAAAGAGCAATAACAAATACGAAATAATTCATGAATTATCTTGTCCTATTAATGTACTTCATTATTAAATTTACAATACATTAGTACTGAAAATAATTTTGGGTTACATCGGCAACCCGAAAGATGTCCAACCCGCTGACAATTGTAACTCGCTTGTTCGTGACAGGCTATATTCCACGATATAGAGCATGATAATCGGCAAATTAAATGGTACATTAATTACCGGACAAATAATACCTCTGGTCATTGAATAACTTCAATGGTATTGCTGCACGAATGGTGATCGAGCATCATGTTCTCGTCTGTTCATCATGGTTCGAATTTTACGAGCGGTTAAAATATCATTTAATTAAAGCTGCAATTTACATTAATCCTGGTGTAATAATATAACAATGTATTATCCTGTATGCGGGACCGGCCATTGTAGTTTTCGCGCTGCTGGACCGCAACGGAGAAGAAAGATGTACGCCTTAATAGGCGTTAGTTGATGGACCACTCGCTCAACTCACCGTGTAAGCAATAACCGGTACTTAAGGCCGACTCACTTTTAATGGCGCGGCCTTTCATCCAGATGAAAGGAGATACGAGCGATCCATCCGGTGTATCGCGCTGACATTTCAGTGTACAAGCCGTATCGAGCAGAGTTCAAGCCCGATTTTTAACCTGTCACGGTTGACTTCAGCGTTATCCGTGCCACATCGACGGCAGGACTATTGACGTCGAGTTATTTATGTTGTCGCGACATTGAAAAACCATAACGTATTCTTTTAATACCCGATCGTGTCGATCGTTAACGAGTTTATTCAATTTGAAATTTTTTTCTTGTCAGATAATTGATACTTTTAATCTTTTAACACGCATATTTGGAACTTCCACAGGTAGTTGTGACCTATATTTTTGTTATTATTGGATTATGGAACTGCATGAGAACTTGCGTTACCGTACATGAATTTGAAGAAAAAGATTTTAGTAACGTTTAATTTTTTGTATTAGCTTCGGAGAACTGAAAATAGGCTTAACATTTATTCAGTTTCTTAAACTTTGAGTTTTATACATTTCTGAAGACTTTGAGTGTTTTAAATATAGAAATTCACGGTTTAAGTAGTAGTAACGTTGATTTGTTGAAGAGTGTCTGTAATTATTTTAAACCTGTCTGTAATGTAAGATCTTTTGTAATGAAAAGAAAAGTGTAGGAAGTAAGTTGTTCTTTTTTGCAACTAAGAATGTGAAATGCGTGTAAGTGACAAAATATGGCTAATTGTAGTATATTATTGTGTTACATTATTTATATTTTCATAACAATATATTGTACAAAATATCATTGATCTAACTGGAATGCAAATGTTGTTTTGAAAAGTTATTTCATCATAGATAAATGTAAATCTTTACATATATTACGTACAAAAACCATATATTTCTGAATAATACTCCATTACGTAAAAACTGAAAAAATCAAATGTAGAAATTTAATAAAAGTTGAAGATGTACAAATAAATTCATATAAATATAAAAATATTAAAGTGTTCACAATGAAACTAATTATAACAATTTAATGTACTTTTAATGAATTTTCAATGAAATTTAATGGACATTTGTAATTAATCTGACATCAAACTATATAATAATATTGAAATTTTTACTAACTACACAACATTCAGATTCAGTTGGACAAAATTACAATCTCGAGGACTTCATTCGCTTCTAATTACATCTACATAAGTATTCACAACTCACTAATCAGCAAGTTATGAGGGTAGAATCTATATATATATATAATATTTTATAAATAATAAGAATATATAAATAATATAAAAATAAATATAAAAATATATAAATAATATAAAAATAAATATAAAAATATATAAATAATATAAAAATAAATATAAAAATATATAAATAATATAAAAATAAATAATAATATAAACATAATATAAACTGTTTTATAATACAGTCCTGAGGTTTTCCCAAGTACCTTGGTGACATCTCAGAGGCATCAATAATAATTAACACAATATCAACGAAAAATTAACGAATTCGGTGCTTCAATAACAAACGATTCTCAGTATCCGAATAAATTAGCTAATTTTCCATATTAACCATATAATTTCCTTCCAGGAAAAACATATAAATAATTATCAACGAAGGTGATTATTAGAAACTTTTATCCTCCACATGGATTTAAAATGTTAACTCTAAAATTATGACTTATGTTTTGTTTATCTGGCGGCGAATTTTTTAAAATATTTGAAATCATTGAAATTGTTAATAAGCAAATTAATTTTGAACTACATGGCAATTTTTCTACCTGCCGAATCAGTTTAGCCAACCTCATACCTGTTGGTACATGCCTTCTGATGTAACACCAATGTATAAACCATCAGCGGTACACGCCGTCTGATGTGATATTCAAATGTGAGCCACCGGTGATACATGTGTGATTGTTTCATTGGGCGGCGTGTACTATTGGTGGGTTCATAAAAAACTGTCCTATCAGAGAGGTATCAATAGTGATGTAGAAAAAGCAATAATTTTCATATGTTTTCCTTTTTTTAAAAAAAGATATATAAGCCGTTTCTTAAAAAATGGTATAAGTCCATTTATTTGTATATTGATATATTTAAAGATTTTCATTTTCATCAACTAAAAAATGTGGTAAACATTAACAAATTCTGGTAGTATGTTTACAACTGTAAACACATTAAATTTTATTATGTAAAAATAATTAATAAACTTGCTAAAAGAAATAATCGGAGTTTTTAGCTATAAGTGGATGTATTATATAAAATATGAAATTTATATTTTATGTAATACATCAATATTTTATGTATAAAACATGTAAGTAAATGAATAATTGACTTTATTAAAAAATATTTCAGGTATATTAATATAGAATTAAAAATAAACTGTGGAAAATAAAATACTTTGATAAGATAACAAATTATTAGTATTTTAATCAACAAAAATTAACTACTATTGTTTCAGTCTTAATTCTCGTTACACTTTGTATGGTGTAATATTTCTGATGAATAGGTGGTATGTAAGACAGTAAACTCATCATATCATTATATTTCTTTCTTGTTAATGTCCTTGCAGGTGTGTAAACAGGTAACAAAAGAATTTTTCTAAAATTTGTGGGTCGTCCTCGATGTCCTAATCAATCGAGAACTTTAAATTCTGTATTTTCTTCAAAGGAGGTTTTTTAGAAAATTTTATAATGTTCGTTCCTCTTAAACCTCATCAAGGATATGTTCAACCAATTTATAATTTCTTCGTCCGTATTTTTCATTTTCTTTGATATTGCTTCTTCCAGGGATTTGGTTGAAACAAAATCTCCTTGCTTCATTTCATATAAAAGGAACTTATTTTTTTCGGAAATTCTTTATTACATTATAGTAGCTTGATGAGTAATTACTATAAATAGTGATTTTTCACAATAGAAATTTGTGGTCAATAATATCAGACAAACCAACAATAATTATAAAACGTTTTCAACTATCGATAATTTAGAATAGACTTGTTCCACTTAAAAAAAAACATTCTTGCTATAACAGTTTAAATTTATTTCGATTAGTTTATGAAGATACTGTATACCATTTACTGTGTTATTATATTTGTAAAAAGAAGACATCTGTGTCTCTAAAATTTTCATTAACTCAGTTTTACCAAAAAATGACTTATACTACTTTAAAAAAACGACTCATATATTCAGAGTATTCCAGGTAACTGGAACAAAGTTATCATTTACATATGAAAATATAAATGTAAGAAACAACCACTATAGGACAAGAAAGGTATAACAATAGAAACATTACTATTGACACAAACACTAACTAACAACAATATTTACTTTCGTTTTGCATTTCTTATACGAATAAAATAAATGATATGCGACAATTAACCAGTTAACTGCGTTTGACGAGTATACATGTCACCTTAAAGCTTGAAACGATACCAATTTTTTCAACGATGAATTCCTTATTTTTCGGATGAACATATAATTCCCCTTCGAGTTTCTTTGGTTTTTCATTAAAACATACCCTAGGCGCATTCGTCCTGCGAAACGAGAGACTTTAAACTAAATTCCACAGTTAACAAGTTAAACTCAGCACCACCAGAAGAACCAAAATATAAATAGTAGCGGCGGCTCACAGCGAAAAATGAAAATTATACAGTCGGCGTGAACGTGTTAAACGAAATTGTTCATGAGTTCGCCAGAAAAACATTTGTAAGAAAGATAGAACGAAATTGGTTACCTGTACATCACGGGAGAAATAATTGTTCGTGTAAATGTGTATCGCTTCGAAGATCCAGGTTACGTCGAACTCGAACACGAGCTCCACGTAGTCGTCCTCCAAGGTGTCGCGCATCCAGGCGACCCAGCCGGTGCCTGCGAACAAAAACGTATCTATTTCCCGCGGAATTGATTTACCGCGAATCCATTCCGCCCCCGTAGACAACTTCGTTAGAGTGAATCGAAGTTAAAGCCTGAGCAACGATTGATCTATTGTTTCTCTCGTTAATTGAATTGATTCCGTTCGGGTAACTTCCGGGCGCGAGGAGCTTTCTTCTTGCAACAATCCGCTCGCGTCTGTGTTTTGTAAAGCGACTCGGGGGTATAATCGACTCGAATGTTCGCAGGTGCTAAGTACCGATAACGACCTCACGGCATCGAATACTAAGTAGCTTTTTGTCATTTGTTCTCCGGGCTTCGGATTAATATACAAATTGTTTGGAAGTTCTGTTTTCCTGGTAATTTTGTGTAAAGTCCTTGTATCCGCTTAAATTTCTTCAATGTGTTAAATGACGCGTCTTTGATAGCAGAAAAAGTTTCGTTAAATGGCGTTTTGATATTTTAGTTGATTTAACTAAAAACTAGTCTAGAACTACCGAGAGTTTTACATGATTAACACGTTGAATGTCGCGCGACTTCATAGAGCAAAATACACAGCGTACAAAGATTATAATATTAAATCATTTGGTTGAATTGCATTATGATTATTGCATATTCATCTAGCTGAATGTCACCACATTAGGTAGCATTATGTATAATATAGAAATATTTTCAATAACCACCGTTTAATTGAGTGAACTACCGTGACCCCCATAGCATTCAACGTATTAATACGTAATCTTTATAAAAATTGTAACAAATAGATTGATTATAGTATTGAAGTGAAACTATTTATTTCTCAAATTATTTCAGATATTTAACACTTTCAAAGTATCAATAATTACGAAGTAAGAGAATTGAAACCCGTCATTTTGACTAGTGCGGTAGTTCTAGTGTTAAAAAATATTAACCCCCTGCACTACGATTTCTTTCACAACTACGCTCGACAGAGCTATTTTACTGTCCATCATTTATTAGAAAAAGAACAAATTCGACGGTTATTCTACGTCTATGTTCACTCTGAAGAATTGCAATTAATAATAGAGAAATAATATTCAATTTTTAGCACGGGGTGAGTTGTGAGATGAAATTCATTCTGTATGAGGATCAAAGGAATCATTTATTGTTTTGTAAACGTGCTTCGCACGTAGAATATATCCTATGTATGGAAATATTAAAACCATAAATGTATATTTAGATTCGTAATGAGGTTGTCTTCACCAAACTGGTTTCAAACATACATTTAATAAATAAACTACAGTTTTAATTGCGAAAGTGTTTGAACTTATGTTAATTAGAAGAGGTTCGTTACGTTATTGATGAATATTTCATCAAAGCGATAAGTAGAAAAATATTTATAGTTGTTATACAACTCATATAGTATACATACATTTTTATATCACTGCGATATTTATATTGCTTGCAGCTAATTTGTACATACGAAATATGTATTATATTTATACTAAATAAATAAATCTATGTCAGTAAAAATATATCTATCAATTTATATTCAAGTGAAACATAACAAAAAGAATGCAATTGTTTCAGGAAAGACAGGTTTACAATCGAAGTTTGTCAATTTAATATTAAACAATTTCTCGGAATTGTCAACAGGCTGTCTGTTCTTCAATCTTTTTAATAAATTTCGAAGTCACCTATTTGCAGTGCGAATTGACATAAAAATCTACAGGCAACAGATCACTTGTGTACAACCCTATAGTACATTTACAGTTAAACGGAACATACGTAGTGTAAATAAACGTAGGAAATTAGAGAGTGCAAAATAGTAATCGTGTTCAAATATTAAAAACATATTTAACCCTTAACCTTATGATTTATTTCGTAACAATAATCGATATAACTACTTCATCGTTAATAATTCATTAGGAAGAGGACAAATTTTTATGCTTATTCTATGTTTACGTTTACTTCAAAGGTTGACAATTGAGAATAGAAAATAATATTTAATTTCTATTTGAAGAAAATAAATAACATTAAGATTCATCAAGTTCAGTTAAAAATTTTCTTCATAAGTCTGATACGATATTGTAGGTCAAGGAGTTAATTATCAAATAAATAAAAACTCATAGGAATCGAGTTTCCTGTTCGAGTTCATGTTAATCCCTTGTTCTACTTCTTATTTCACGATTGTGCTCGATAGAATGACTTTATCGTTAATAATTTAGTAGAAAAGGACAATCGATGCTTTCTCTGCGTCTACGTTTACTTGGTTAAAGGTTGATAATAAACAAGTAACATTTCATTTGTATGAAAAACAGATAAATAACGTTTAGATTTGTCGAATTCAGTTCAAAATTTTCATCACGAGTCAAACTTTTTATTATAAAAGAAGGGGTTAAATTATTCTTCAAAGCTTGTCCTAAAACAAATGCAATTCGTCTTGTCCTTCACTATCCTCCCACGCGAATGACACCCGGCGTACGTCGCCGGTAGCGATCTCTAACCCGAAGATCCGAAAATCACGAAAGATATACTTCCAGTTTCGGCACTTAGCACTCTGCCGCGTATCCACCCACCGATTACCTCTTCCATCTCCCATGTCCAGCCTGTAATTATCCGCGCCGACCTCGCCATCGATTAGCCGGCCTAGACCATCGGTCAACAAGTTGTCCTGCCTTTTACCGTCGTACGAGACGTCGCTGAGCTCCGCCGTCGGGGATTCCGGTATGGTGTAGCTCACAACACCACCTGAAACACGGTAAAGTTTCGCGTGACAACTTCCGGGATAATGCCTTCCCTTTTAAAAGCAAACTCAGGCTTGGGCAAGTTCGGCTGCGTGTTGTTCTTTGCTCGCGCCGAGGGCCGTCACGGCGCGGCGGGACAGAAAGGGTGTCGCGGAACGCGGAAAGAAAGAATCACCGTGTCGACGGTATTGTTTCGCCGGGCCAGGCCGTATTGTTTCGTCAACCAGCTTACTTTTCTTCGTCGAAATGCTCGACCCGTCGCGCTTTCGCGTTTCAAAGCGGGGCTCGCGAGACTTCATTCACCCCCTTGACCTGCGCACGTACCTCCGACGGCTTAATTCTGTTTGGATTTACGCTCAATCTGGTTTATCCTGGCCGAATGTATGGGGTTGATTCAAAAAGGAACGGCGAATTTTTCTGTGTTTCCAGAACAAGGCGCTGGAGCGTTTAAATTCTTATTATTGAAAGGCGGGAAGTGAATTCATCGCAGCGGTGCTATAAAATATTTCCCTTGTATAGGAATAACTAACGGCTATTGAAGCTATTTGGTCGATAAATATAGAACTTTGTTAAATTAAATGGAGAGTGGAGGGATAATTTAGAGTGGTCTGTATTGGAGAAAAGTAGATGTATAACCAATATGGTTATCTAGTTATAAAACTAGAGTGAGGATTTTTATATATTTATAGGATATTTGAAAGTGTAACATTACATACAATATGGAAAAGTGTTCGCTTATATTTGAAAATTATGAAAGATTATTGGTAATTATTTGCAACACTGATTCCTTACTGATTTGAATGACCTCAAAATATGTTGTGGTGAAATGGATCTTGTGTATTTATTTACAAAAGGAGTAACCCTCGTGTGACCTGCATAACGACATGTATTATTAAGATCATTGTTCTGTACACGAGGCTTTTTGAACTTTTTAACAGTGAGTCTTGGATCAAAAGTTATCAAGCATTAAAGTTTCACATTACGCTAGAAAGTTTTGTCTTCATTTTCATTTATTTAAGCTGTGTTCCTTATAGTATATGTGGTATTAATGGAAATAAATATGTTTTATTTAAAAAAAATATAGGAATAGTTAATTGAATAAAATACAAATAAATAGAAATGATATAGCTCGCAGTGTACAAGTCTTTTCTTTTCTCAGGTCAACGCGACTCTCTCCAAAAACACTTGTCATCCGCCCTTAAAAATCATTCTCTCCCCCACAAGCATTCTTCTCACTCACACTTCCAACAAATTCTCATCTACACCCTACTCTCACCACCCTTGCTTACGCATCGCTCGAGAAAACCCACCAACTCTTGGGCCTGGTCTTCATCAGTCCCTTCCTCATTTATGGCCCTCTTCCTGCCTTTCAGAATACTCGCTGTCCCACTGCCTTAAAACTACGATACTACATATATGTACTCAAACTTTATTTAGATAATAGAGATTAGAATTAGTGCAACTAGTTTTTCTGGGGTGGGTCTCTCCTACATCTCCACTCCAAAGAAAACAGCCCTTCCATTCGTTGTTCGATTTTCATATATCGCATTTTGTAAAGAAAAAACATTTTTTATTTTTATATTAATGTTTTATCCATGTAGGTCAAAGATGAAGCGTATTTTGTGTTTGATAGTTCCTTTCCGACGTATGCGATGTTTTTAATAAATTAGAGTGATGGTTGTCCTTGAATTAGACAGAATTGCGATTCAACCACTCAGCTAGTTTCAGTTAAACATCACGTCCATCTTCAAATACCGTACTATCCGGAGACATTCAAACATTTACCTCGAAACCATTTAGACATTCACCGAGAATGTATCGCACGGTCATACATGGAACTTTAGAGAATGCTTTCAAATTTATAATTTATGTACTTAGTAAAGCGGTGTCGTGCATTAGAAATTACACTTAAATAAACGGATGTACGTCTAACAGACTATTTCACATTCATTATGATTAATTCAAACAGTCAGAAAGAAAATTAATTTGTACATTAGATGAAGCTAAAGCTATTTGAAATTTAAACTTTCAGATTAAGAAGATATTATGTTAAATGCTAATAAAATATAAATATTATTAAGGACATTTAACTTAATTAATTGAACAGTTATTAAGAAAAATAAAAAGTACTTGCTATTCATGACAATTTTATATTTTGTAAAAATATAAATGAAATTCTTCAGAAAGATAAGTGAAGTTTTCATTCTCTTTTTCCTCGAAATACTTCAAATTAGTATAATTACCGATACTGAGACGATATTCAATTGTTTGGACACTCGCAGGACGTAACAGAAGATCTATCGAAGCCGAGGCTTCCTATGAATATTTATAAAAATAGTCGATACATTATTAATTAGAGATAAACGTTACAAACATCATAGAATTCGTCTTAAAAGATACAATAAACTGACATTAATAAAAATACGTAGTTTCATTTAAAAATTGCATTAACCTTGAAATCTCTTTAAATAAGAACGTACAATAGAATCGAAATAGCTTATTAAATGTCTCAAATCATTCTTATCCGAAACGTTTTTTTCTTATCTTCAATAATTATGGGAATAACCGACTGTACACGAATACTATATAGGACATACTATACGTCTCAACTGGATATTACCTTTCACTTTCAATAAACAACAGTTATTAATACACATTTTTCAATGAATTTATGCTAGATATGTGTACAAAACGTTTATAAAAAAATAAATTTATGAATTAAATTTAGTTTTGAAATGCACGCACGTGCACCATTAATCTCTTTAGGGTTTACATTGGTCAACGATTCCTGAGCGTGGACGCTGGTCCATTACAGAAAAAAGTTTCGAATAAAGTCAGTTTAGTGATTTGTCACGCGAAAGTTTCACGGTTAGAAATACGAAGAATTATTGATCATCATACCGCGAAGGAATCATCGAACGGGTTAGAGGTATTATTACTCGTTCGACGTGTCACGAGCGTGTCGAGGGGCTGAGCACTCATGGTGAGAAAATTAATAATGAACGACAAAAACGACACCGCGGCCACTTCGTCGTGTCGTGCCCGGAATCGCCTAACTACTCTCAATATTTCACGGTGCATACGTTCGCAACCTGTCGCGCGTGTCACGCGATGCGGACAAGCGAGTTTCGGGACAGGGCATCGCGTCGTTGCTTCAAAACTAAATATAATTTCGTATTCTTATTCTACCTTGAGGGAAACCTGACCGTCCCACCTAGAAATGGATTAACTGATGCTTTTTAATTAAAGAATCTTATATAATCTGCGTTATTCAAATTAATTCATTAAAATAAACAAAAGATATGTATATATATGTTTCACTCAGTTTACGAATTTATATATTATAGTATATTATAGTATTTTTATTTTTATCAGCCTGTGCAGTAACAATCTAATTGTCTACGTATAATTTATATATGTTTTATATAATCTGCGTCATTCAAATTAATTCATTAAAATAAACAAATCAGATATATATTATACATATAGTAAAAAATCAGTTCTTTTTGAATTTTAAATGTACTGCTAAAGTTTACTTAAATTTATTTAGCAGAGTTTCATTATACTAGACAAAATAAATAAATTATACGTAGAAAATCAGATCGCTACTACATTGGTCGATATAAATAAAAATATAAAATAATTTTTAATAAATAAAGTTAAATATTTTCATCGGTTTATTTTGTATTTTTCGCGAACGCTTGATCGAAATATGAATACGAATTAAGGGTGGTTAAAATGCTTATCTATGCCGGAGAAATTATAGAGACGTTTATGTATAGTAATTCCCGCGCGTTCCATCAGTTCCGAGACCCATTAGCCAGACACTGCCGATACTCGACCAATTTTCTCAACTCGCTTATTAAAAGCACACCTCGCGAGAGCGCGAGGGCCGTCGTTACTGCGACTTTACCCTGTAATCCGTAGAATCCGCTAATCTAATCTACGCCGGCAATCTGCACCCCCGCGCGCGCCACCCAAATTATTACGAAGTTTCCATTGAGTGTCGTTAGAGTAATTTCCGGGGGAGTTGCTCTCAAAAGCGAGGAGAGCACTCGTAATAAGTTTCGAAATCAATTCGCTCCCCCGCCTGTGTTTTTCCGTTAAGGTCATTTTCAAAAGCCACTCGCGCACTGTTCAAGATGATAGACATTTTTATTTTTCCCCTTGGAGAACTTTCCGCCGAGTTTTCACGGAACTTCACCGTTTTCGAGGTTCTTGCTCGATGCGATGCGTTACAGCAACGTGAACAAATGATTATTTGGTCCAATGAACAGGTAGACATTACGAACTTTCTTGACCAAAGTATAATATGATTTTTTTTATATATTTAAGCTCTTAACACTGAAACTATTGTGCAAATAGAGTGACTTATTTTTTAGAAAAATTGGAACAATACGTTTCTTGAAATTTGAAGGGTGTCTTAATCTTGTATCTGTGCAAAAACACGAATTTAATTGAAAATTTTTCATAGAAATGCCATCATAATTTAAATACTTGCAAAATGAAAATTCTGAAGTGGATCAATTTGACGCGTTTCGTAGTTTTAGTGTTTAAAGCATACTGGCGCATTTGCTTTTGGTGTAGCCTTAAAGTCTAACGAACGAACACTTGTTTGTTTTTCGTATGTTTTTCATAATTACGTTCATCCATTTTCGTATTGTTCAATATTTATCGATTTGAACAAAATAACAGTAGTCAAACGGAAACTAAAATCGTCGTTGTCTGTTCTAAAAAACAATTCGACCACGAAGACATTAATACATTGCAGCTGAAGTACACTTGTGTTCGATCATACTCATTCTTTCGTATCGTAAATAGAAAGGAAACATAAAATCGATATTTAAGTAATTCAGCAAATATAAAACAAATTTTTCTTAAATGAGATGGTACCTGAAATAAAAGTATGAGTTTCACGAACCGACTTTCAGAAAACAGTGCCCAAAGGATAAGAATTTATACATTTAACTTTCGTGACTAAAAAATAGACAGTTTAGTTTCTTA